GAGAGAGAGAGAGAGAGAGAGAGAGAGAGAGAGAGAGAGAGAGAGAGAGAGAGAGAGAGAGAGAGAGAGAGAGAGAGAGAAGGGGTGTAAATGCAGGGCTATGCAGTGGAAAGTTGTGGGAACGATCATCGGGTTCAGAGATGTAAGGGTGGAAGAGGAGTGAGACACAGCATTAATTGATCAACTGATTCATGTGGTTTGGTGCCTCGGCTGGTTGGTTGCTTGCGTGTTTAACCTGGCAGGGGGATGGTTATCTGGTCTTCCTATGCACAGCCAGGTGTGCCACCAGCAGATAACTGTGCGTTTAGGCCAAAACAGGTCAGCTGTGTACTCCCGTGATGCATATGCAGATTCTGTTTGCTTTTGCTTGGTGAAGTGATTCTGTGTGAGTTGATCGCTCTGCATCCCACGATTACGAGTGAAGTACTCTGTCAAATGCACCTGCCGTGTTGGGCAGTGATCGGGCAATGGTCAGTGGTAATCATAGTATGTAGTGACAGACAAAGGTTACTCCCTTAGTAGTGTAGATCTCGGGAGATGAAAGAGGATGCGGCTCAAACAATGCTTTCTAAAGAATCTAAACGTTAAAAACAAAAGTCAGAAGCGGCTGGGGCAGGGTGGTTGGGGAGGATGTGGTTGTTATTGGGACGGACATTGACAATGGGCAGTGTAATGCTCTCCCCACCTTTTGAACTCTGAATTTAGTGTGAGAGGGAAACATGAAGGGCATCTGCTTCCTCTCCAGGTTAGCATGACTGGAAGTTGACCCATTTCGTTTTGTTGGCATGCAATTCGACTGAGCTCTGGCCTAATATTACCATGCCATTTATAGATTCCGCCCCCTAAAGAACGGGCTTCTTGGTCCTTGCTTCGTTCTATTCTTAGTGTCGGTGTGGTTCCAATTCCACCGGCAACGGCGGCAAGTCAGAAAGTATGAAGTTGACCTGCACAATGCCTCCTCCAGTTACCGCCAGGCAACCCACCAGCAGCACTGATTGCCTCGAATTTGGAGGGACCGACTCTGTTGTTGCCCATACAGATGAAGCAGCACCTTACCCCCAGCCATTGCACCCCTTCCAGAAAAACATGTGAAACAGATCGTAGCACTGGCCTGGTGATTCACGAGTGTTCAGGTCCTAGGGATTGGGATGAGAAACTGAGCGTAATAGCTTAGCTTATAGTATTGTTGTGCATTCATCAACCGACCAGACTCCAAATCAGCTGAACCTACAATGGAAGGCTAGGACTCCATTGGACTTCTGTTCCCCGACTCTCAATCTATCACAACACCTGATAGCACAGAACATGCGCTACCAGAGATTCTCAACTTTTTCTTCCCCATTTGTTGTAAAACTGCACCTATTCCATGCTGATTAGCATTAGTTGTAACGATAAACGACTGTCAGAATCTGCAATCTTCAGGACTGGGTGATGCATCAGAGCAGACTTCAATTGTGTGAAGGCCCACTGACACTGTTTAGTCAAAATCCCAAGAGTGTCAAGGCGGGTAAGATCAGTCGAGGAGGCAGCAATACCGGTATAGCTCCTTACAAATGACCTATAGTAGCCAGTTATCCCCAAGAATGATCTGACCTCAGTCACAATCTGAGGCTGCGGCCAATCTCTAATAGCCTCTATCTATGCATCCTTTGGCCTGAAACCTTCCTCAGATATTTCATGAAGCTAGTACAAGATCCGAGTACGTGCAAACTCACTTTTCTCTATATTGAACTTGTTCCGGTGTTTCTGAAGGAGACCTAGAACAATATCTAAGTGCTCTGCATGCTCCTCCGTTGTCCTACTAAAAATAAGGATATCTTGGAGATCGACAACAATAAAGTTGTCTAAGTAGTCGTGGAATATCCTATTCATTGCCTACTCCAATGTACCAGGTGCATTATAGAGCCCAAATGAGAAAACTCATGCAGGTCATACTTGGTCTGGAATGCAGTTTTGTGTTGATCCTTGTGTCTTATGTGTATCTGATGGTACCCAGACTTCAGATCACTGTTGCTAATCCCTGCACCCTATCCGAGAGGTCATCAATGTGGAGTAATGCAGAGTGATGGCATTGAAAGCCCTATAGTTAATGCACATCCGCAAAGTACCCCCCTTCTTTGGCACAAACAGAACTGGTTCACCGTAAGGCGAAGTACTAGGGCTAATTCACCTCTGTCAGTTAGTTCCGTGAGTTGCTTGCAAATTTTATCTAACTCCCCTGGAAACGTGCTATAGATCCTGCCTGTGGGCATCCCTTCCTGGGACCATCTCTATAGCATGGACTATCTCCCTATCAGCAACCCCTATAGGTTCCTCCTGCAGGTCCGGATGCTTACTGATGACTAGCTATATCTCTGGAGGGGCCTGTATGGCATGCCCCTTTGGAGAAATGAAAACGGGGTGGATACCTTCTTCCTTTTGTTGCCTGTATAAAACGAACTAGCGCATAAAGAGCCATAAGAATATGCCAGCTTATGAAGATTATTTTAGTATATTTCTCTAGTATCATTTGGAATGGGAGTTCCTCACTGACCAGAAAAGATTTCTCTAATCCTGCTCCCCCATAGGAGAAGGTACACACAACGTCCTTGATACAGTCATGTACTACAATCTTCTACTTGTTGGCTGAAGTCGATACTGTGAGTCTACTTAGCGGCTGAACTTGGTGCCCAAGCGCAGCCTATCAACCAGAGGTCGCAAAAATGTTTTTTTCTCCTACCTATATCCGACCCAGCCCAAGCCTTGATGTATCATATCTAGCTGGATCATACTTGCGGCGCATCGACGTGCGTTGCACCGCGCACACGCGCCGCACTGCACACAGCGCGCAACGCACGCGCACGGGGTGCGGCGCATCCTGAAAATAAGGGGTCGAGGCAAAAAAAAAAGTTGGGGAGGGGTGTTTTAGACCCGAGATGTCACGTCAGAAACCACAAAAAAATATTAACAAAAATTTGAGACCGCACGGGGCCTCCGAAAAAAAAAAGGGGGGAAGTTCGGTTTTCTGTTTGTGTGTGTGTGTGTGTGTGTGTGTGTGTGTGTTGTTTGTGTGTGTGTGTGTTGTTTGTGTGTGTGTGTGTG